ATGGGTGAGAGATTGCAAAATTTTCAAAAACACAAGATACATCTTCGTAATCATATAATTTGGTTGTGTATCTTCTACAATATTGTTTCTTTTGACATTTAACTGATTTAGTGAAAAACACCTTTCCCTTTAAATATATATATATATAATGGGTGAGAGATTGCAAAATTTTCAAAAACACAAGATACATCTTCGTAATCATATAATTTGGTTGTGTATCTTCTACAATATTGTTTCTTTTGACATTTAACTGATTTAGTGAAAAACACCTTTCCCTTTAAAAAGAAACATATAAAAAATAATAAAATCTGTTTAGGTTTAATTTAATGTGGAATAAGGGGGGTTGCAAATACCAATCTAGATGTTATTTGTACCTCTGATATTAGTAATCTGCTATTGTCAATTATTTAAAACAGCAACAACAAAAAGTAATAAATAAATAAATAATAAAGACTTGAGATTATATAGATAACTAGATGGAAATTATAAAGTGAAGAAAAAAAAGTGGGGATATTATTGTGTCATATCAATTATCGACACTAATTTCTCTTGTTCAGGGAGAGGATCATGAGTTCACACATTAACCAACAGATCACGTAAAGTACAAGGGATTAACAATCAAGTACAAATTGCCAAGAAAATCAAAGAACATTACATATATATTGTTTTTTTCCCCCTTTATATATATATGATGACTTCTTAGTTTTGATGAGCTAGTTACATAGTACTTTCATGGTACCACAAGTGAGAGTGAGCTTAGAACCTAGAGAGGAACTGCATTTGCCTGAGGAGTGGAGTTAGGGTTTCCATGAGTTTCTCACATGGATGATTGTGAATTCCCTCGTATGTTGTCACAACGATGCTTGTGTCCTTGGATAGCCTCTGCACTTGTTTCTTCACATTGCATGTGTGATGCGTGCACCGATAGTAGCTCCTTTGATAATTTTTCATAGTTTAGTTTAAGTTGAAGGTACGTAAGCAAAAAAAAAAAAAAAAAAAAAAAAAAAAAAAAAAAAAAAAAAAACCATGGTGAGAATTTTTACCGTCAAAAAGAGAGAATTTCTTATCATAACGAGAATTCATATATAAATATATATATATTATATATGCGCGTGCGCGCGCACACATATATATATATTATTTACTTAAATTATTAATTATTATTTGTTAGTATGAGAAGTTGATAAAATGAACACCAAACTGTCCAAACCAAAATAAAGGAAAAAAAATCATTATTGCAAGGCACACAAATACAATTAAGTAACATGATTTTCAGCAGGTCACATCTATAAGAAATTTGTAAGAGAAAGCCTCAAAACTTTTAGAGCCCAAAAACAATGTACATCGAATAGACAAATAAGTTGTCACGTTAATGAAAACTTATAAGATTAGTTCACTTCTTGTTTTTCCTGTATAAGTAAGTCAATTTTGAAAGTCGTCAATGTCACTAATCTAACTGAAAATTAAAGTTAAAAAAAAAAAAAAAGGTTTAATGAGGGTAGGGAATTGACATAGGGAGAGTCTTGTCCTTCATCACCTAGTGCTAAGCTCTACTAGTATATTCCAAAACGACAGTTTGTTCTTTATCCTTCTAGTGCTGGCCTTTTATTTGACATTTGTATTAATGCTTTGGGCTGGATTTCCTCATATTTGTTGTTTCTTAGATTAGTTAGTGGTACTCCTGATTATCTTAACCTTGATAACAATTAATTTCCTCAAACTCAAAAATTATTCTATCACCACCAACCCCCCCTCAAGTTTTCGTATTAAAGTATTTCTACTTCTAGACTTTGTAAATGAATGTCTTCATTCAAATATGAGGCACCTCAATATGCGTTAGATAGTTTTCACAAATTAGTGATTAATTATCTTTTACCATGAAAATTAACGATGATAAAAGAGTCAGAATCTACTAATTAATATCTTCATAGGAAGCCTATATGCATCAGTATATACACATGTGTGTGTGTGTGTGTGTGTGTGTGTGACAGGCCGAATGTGAATTACTCCCTCATATTTTACACCATTGATCAGCTGCATTCGTGCTCATTTCTTGTGGTGCTTTTCTTGAACTTAAATTTATTTGTTCTTGTTTTATATATAGTTCTCTCCTTAAATTACTTGAACAAGATATATATTTATTTAAACTACTAAGAAGCAACCTTTACTTATATATGTATAGGCGAATTATTCTAGTAAATCAAGTAAAAATTATAGGACTGTATAAAAATATTTGTGTACTTTATTTTTCACTGTGTAAGCTTTTTAAATAAAATTGTGAATTCATTTACACACACACATAGATATTGTATAGGCGCTTCCGAGAATAACCTACGTTAATTATTAATTAACATATGTTGTCATGTTGAAACTATATATGTACGTACGTTTGTTCTAATGGTATAATTTTTCCCCTTTTGGCAAACAATATATTTGAATTGAATTACACATTAGTTTGAATGTGTGAATAAGTAAGGCTCGTTTGATTCATGCGTTTAAATCAGTGATTTTTTATTTTGGCATTTGAAATTTAAATTTTTTGTTAAAGAAAAATATTGTATCAGAATCAAAACTATGGGATTTAAACGCGGCAAACAAATGAGCCCTAAATGTTTGTCGATGAACCATAAAATATTTGTTTGATATAGTGCCAAACATCATATGAATTGTTCAAGTAAATAGAACAAATAATATTTTTCAACAATTTTGATGTACAGAGTAACACATATTGGTAATATCAACGAGTGAAAAAGGGGGGAACAAATTAACGTGAGATGTAGTAATTCTTCTTAAAAATGTGATTACGTAATCATCAATTGTATACCTGGGATATGAACTGTTCTTCACAGCTTTCTGTCCATATTTTCTCCAGCGATAGCCATCGTCAAGAATATCGTCGGCGCTCCTCGTCTGAAAGGCGAACCTCGGCCTACTCGCTTTTCTCATCTTTCCAACCGCTCTCCTCTTATTATTTCCCTTATTTTCTTCCCCACTATTAGCAGAAAGAGCAGCACTATTTTGCAATATCGTATTTGGTTTAGTGCTAGTATCCATTGTCTGATCACGACCACCTGCTTGAGCTGAGAGAAGGCCAATCCAGTCGATTTCAGGATAATCGAGAGGATTAGGGTTAGGGTTAGGGTTAGGGTTAGTGTTCGGTGTTGAGGAGGAAGAAGATGACGGAAAATTTGCGGAAGGTGCAAAGAGAAAACTAGGGTTTTGGGGTGGCAATAATAATGGTGATGATATCAATGACAATGGAGGTAAAGGTTCTTGGCCTTCCATTGGTGGTAAAAGTTTTTCTTTGAAGAGAAAACGTGTGAGAAAGCGGAAATGAAAAATGTACAAGTACGGAAGTTTATATAAGAAGGTTTTTAAGGAAGGTGGAAGTTGAGCGAAGAGGTTGGACTGACCCACAAAGAGAGAGAAAGAGATAAAATTATTATATAATTTTTGGAGTTGAAAGGAGGATTGGGTATATACTCTTTTTGTCTTTATAAATAAAGTTTTCCAATGCTTGCGGGGTAGAGTAAAGCCAACTACATCTCAACTACTTTTGTTCAACTGCCCTCTTGTTCAAATGAGAAGAAGACGTGCCTCAAAATGCATATCGTTATCATCTATGCATGAATTTGCATGATTTCATATGTAAATGCTAATTCTTCCTGATCTTGAATTCTCATCAAACCTCATCCATTTAGACACGTTTTTTACTTTAATTTTATTATAAGATATAAAGAAAGCAGCTCAATGACTCACGTTTGAAGGTTGCCAAGAAGGTTCATTTGCAGAATAGACTCTGTTTACCAACCAAAACAGGACAAGGTTGCCGGTTTTGACTTTCATCATAGAGAAATACTAGCATCTTTTTTTATATCGCTCTCTTTATCACTTTTTACATTCATTATTTGATACGTGAATTTCATTAATATGATATATTATTATGTAAGTAGAAAAGGAGATAGTGGAGTTCACGTGTCAAACAGTAAATGTAAATGGAACAAAGAGAATGATGCTAACATTTCGGTAATCATTGTAACCTAGAGAGAGGGAGTCCACATTCATATTATTTGGTGTCAAAAACCGGAGCATCCCTAAAAGTTACTGAGGTACTCTTGTCCTAATCCTTCATGTAGAGATGTCTTAAGATTAATGGAAATTTGGTAACGATGAAAATGCATTGACATTACTTCCTGTTACATTACAAAGTGTATTGAAAGAAAGTCACAAATTATATATACATAAGCCCACATATATATTATATAAACAAAACTTTATATAATTCTTTTTAGAACAACAAAAAAAAATAATATGACTTTGAATATCATGAATATGATATATAATTGCAGGTGTTTGTATATATACCTTCCAACTTTCTTCTTAAGTTTTTTTTTTTTTTTTTTTTTTTGTGCATTGTTAGATTTGTTTTTAGTAATTTACTGAGTTTAATTAAAGTCTAATTACTTAAATTACCAAAAAGGTAATATAAAAATAAGAACACAAGCAGTTCATTTTTTGAAAAATTTTGTCCACGAGACTACACCTAGCTATTTAACAATCTAATAAGAAATTATAAAAATTATAGTTACCAATCGGACTTGGGGCTCACTTAATGGCTGTAAATCAGTACGCGTAGTCATATTTGTCCCAACAAAAACGTGATTATTAATACTGTACCTCAATTTCAAAGCCTTTGGTCGAACTGTACTTTTAATTGCTGTAATGTAGCAGTTTATGTATTCTACAAAACCAATATATATGTATATAAAACCAATAATATGTATATATATATATATATCATATTTACCTAAAAAAACAAAAAAAAAAATAATGGCATTTGAGTGTTAAACAAAATGGTTGATAGTCCACTCGTGTTTCGAAATAAATGGAAAATTTAATTATTGATATCTGCTATTAAGAAGGGTATTTATGTGCACAATATGAAAAGATTTTTGTATTTCGAGATGAGATTATCTCTAAACCTAATGTTATTTTTTGGAAAGGCAAAACGTGCTTTATTACTTTTTAGTTTTCTTATAACACAAACATAATAAATACATACCATTAAATAGGGGCGTTAGGCAATTGCCTATTTTGACTATGGGTAGAGCCGGCCTTGTTCACTATTCCTGACCAATATCATAACGTGAAGCTTCCTCATTAGATTCATCTTATTACGGAGTCTTGATCTGTTGTCTTTATTTTCCTGTTTCAGTAGCTGTTCATTCATTAATTATTTGTTATATCATCTAAATTTAAGAATCTGATCACATAATAAGAACGACATACTAAAAATATTTAAGCAAATCACGATGTGTCAAATTCTAATTAGTGAGACAGCCACCGAGACAAAAAAATAGAACAACAAATCTTGATTTCTTATCGTGCATTATAATTTTCTACTTCAGTATGAGCCCCACTACTAAGAAACGCCCTCTCAAAGACTCTAATTGGCATTGAGCCAGGATTAACACCACGGGAGAAAAATGCATTTGACCAGTAAGTGCTAAGCGGTGACAATGTTAGTTGATGGATCTGATCGCCATACCAGCATGCTCCACTAATTGTAAGAATTTCTCGTTAAAGTTTTCTTAGTCAATTATATTTAATTTTTACCTTACTACATATCTTTTCTCAAACCAATTGAAGATCTCATTCTGTATGTTTTGTCATGCTTTCTTATCTAGAGTTGAAGTTTGCAACCCTTGTTTGGTCTCATCATGCTAGAGACAAATACAAAAATGAGCCGATCTCATCAAGATCAAGACACAGTGATTTTCAAATTTCAATTTTAAATATGGGTTAATTTCAATAATAGCCTCCTAAATAAATTATTATTAATTTTAGCACTATTTTTGTATATTTTCACAATTAGTATTGTCATGTCAGCAGTGTGAGGTAAAATTACTTCTATGTCACTTAGGTTAAAATTATTATTTAAAAGCACCTCAAAGAAACTCTCAATTCTCTCCCGTCTATTCTCTCTCTCTCTCTACACCCCATTTTCAGCTCTCTCTCTCTCTCTCTCTCTCTCTCTCTCTCTCTCTCAAGTTTGGCCTCTCTCTCTACTCGATCAGTCTCTCTCTTTCCTACGCCCTCATTTTCTCGTCATCAATACTCCGGTTGTGCACCAAATCGAGGTTGGTACATAATTTTTTTTTTATTTTTCTTTTGTTTTTTCTTTTTAAATTTATTTTTCGGGAGACTTAGTATATAGAACTCAAAAAAAATGGCTGGGTTGAACTTAATGTGATAGAAATTGATACTATCATTCAGCAATTTGAGATTTTAGATGGTTTATAATTTATATGTAAACTGATTGTAACGACTGCTACATCAAAGACATAGTTGACCTTAGGAGTCATAGTATTGTGACTCATAGTGTTATATGTCCAGTCAGAATACTATGATCAATCAGTCATAACAGTATGAGCCATTGTTTATGAGTCAAATTATAACAGTATGAGTCAAGACTTATAATTATAACAGTATGAGTCAAAATGGCCGGTCATAGTATTATGACCGTCAATAAGGCAATCATAGTGATGTGACCGGACTGTCATAATATTATGATTGAAATGACCCATAGTGTTATAACTGGCACACTATGACTGCCTTATGACCGGTTATTACATAGTGTTATGACTGGCCATTTCTAATGACTCTATGCCGACTAGGAGTAATTGCATGTTGACTAACAGTCATTATTTTTGAAATTATTTAGGACTGACTGTTGGATTGAACGTCTTCATCAAGTACAATGGACATTGGGACCGTACTTTGAGATACGTCGATTGTGAAATGAAGGGGATATTGGACCCCACCAACACAACTTATATTGGTCTATAGATTTTGTGAGAAATGTGCTTGGGATTCTGCGACTATGTCAGGATTTTGTAGTTCTTCATCGGTGGGTGTCACCGCATAAAAGACAGGCTGCATAAAATGTACGTAAATGAGTTATTAAACAAAAACAGTGAGTTATTAAAATATAAGTACATCGAAGATGACTAAATGTATATGATGGGCTTACCTTTCTATGCTTGGTGTGAAGCGTAAAGACCCGCCTAACGGCATCGTACAACACCTGGTCTTTTGAAGACCACGCAAGCATTCTTGGAGTGTGCTCACCAAGAGATGTAGCGAAATTCTTTCCTACTTTTGGAATGCTCTCGAAAGCCCAAACCAATAGTGCATGAGGGAAACCGATGAGATTGTAGTGCATTCCAGCTCCTTTTCCCTTGCTCTTAATCTTGTTCATTACGACAGACCTGATGTTATCTCTTGTCATCTCCCATGAAGGAATCCCCCAAAGGTAGTTGTTGAATGCTTCTTGGTCGTTGACCAACTCAACATAGGTCTCTGGAATTCTTACTATTTTCGCATTGGAAAGTATAATGTTGGAAAGCATGTACAAAAGTCATATCCTGACCGTATCATCGCCGCTGTCATATTTAGTGTTAGGGTCAGATAGTTTTTGCTCAATGCCTGCCCTCGTAACGTACGAGAGATTTTTTCAGTACCATTTGTGGAGGCGGGATTTGGCAGACACTGGCTTCAAATGTGTTGAACCAACACACTTAAGACCGGTGATGAAGGCATACTCAGCTATTGAAAATCGCCCGATGTCGTCCCTAATAGCAAAGAATAAAGAGTCCTCTGTTTTCCCATCAACAGCGGCCAAGTGCATGATAACACTGTGGACAACTTGGCCAGCCCACCCAAGCTTTTGGAGGTTTAAAAAGTTCACTACGGCAAGTTGAAGCTCTAACTTCTCAAATTGAGTCCGTGCAAGACCCTGTCTTAGTATTCCCATAGTTTTCTCATAGTTAACAGTACGGTTTATTTTACCGTTCTTGATGTCCTTATCTGGAACCATTCTCATGAATTGTAAGATAAAGGCAAACAAAAAGACACAGACAAAAAAATAAATCACACCTTATGGGTTTGTCATACTAATATGACCGGACGGTCATAATATTTTGACCGACTACAGTGTTAGTTCCACCATATAATGTTACGAGTTCCACCACTATGACTGCCTTATGGAACGATGGTCATAATACTATGATCGCTCATTATATTATTCGGTCATAGTGCAGTCATAATAATATAACCACCATAAGGCTGAGTCAGAGAACAAAAATGACCACAACGACAATCCAATAAAGCTCACAAATTTCAAATAACTGACCTTCTTAGTATCTGCTTTATCTTCCTCCAAAGGCTTTTTTTCTTCTAAGATGACAAAAAAATTGGTAAAAAATAATAATAAATACAAAAAAAAAAAAAAACAAGAAAGCAAACAAAATTGTTAACCAATGTACTATGACTGGCATACTAAGAGTTTGACAATTGTTCGGTCATAGTACTATAACCGACGGTCATAAGTGTTATGAATGATGACTGCCTATAAAAAAAAGTACTATGACTGGCACACTAAGAGTCCGACAATTGTGCGGTCATATTACTATGACTGATGGTCATAATGCTATGACCGCAGGCTCATCAGTCAGGCAATTGCACTATGCGCCTGCCTGGCGGTCATTGTAATTATGACCGTCGGTCATATTACTATGACCTCACGATGTGCCTGTCTTATGACCGGTCATAATAAAATTACCAAGCAGTCATAATGATATGACCGGCCATCAGAGTCACAGATAATGACAATCCAATGACCCTCAAAAATTTCAAATAACTAACCTTATCTGATTTTATCTCCTCCTTCAAAGCCTTTCTTTTCTTCTAAGATGATAGAAAATGGTAAAAGAAAAAAATAAGAAAAGCCAACAAAGTTTTCACCTTTGTCTCGGAATCCGCCATTGACCTCGTCTGTTTCGTGGCTGATTTCTCCAGGGAAGAGGGTGAGGTTTCCTCAGTTCGTTCTTCTCCACGAAGAGGTTTAGACGTTGATTTCTCCGGCGAAGGTTCGTCGGTTCTCGTCGCGTGATTGCATAGGTTCTCGTTGTCGTGGGTTTTTGCTGTCGTGGGTTCATCGGTGCTCAAGGTGGTAGATGGTGGTAGACAGCGGTGGTCGTTGGGGTTTCTTGGTCACTATGCACACCCGCGTTTGTCCTCCTCCTCCCTCTACTTTGAATATTTGAATTATAAAAGGCTTTTTAATTTATATTCAAGGCTTTAAAACTGAAATGGAGCACAATTGTTATTTTAACTCAAGTAAAAATAGCATGGTCCCACTTTTGCTAACATGGCGATGCTAATTGTGAAAGTATACAAAAGTTGTGCTAAAATTAATAATCATTTATTCAGGAGAGTTATTATTGAAATTAACCATTTTAAATATTTACAAATTACTATAAATTTTTTGTTGTATTTCTATATGAGAAAACACCTAGTAACGCTTTTCTAATTAAGTTATACCTCCAAAACTTTTTTTTTTTTTTTTTGAATATTTCAACCCGACCAATTTTTTAATGATAAAGAGAAAATTGTTAAACTTATCTTTAAAAATACATATTTTTTTTTTTTTTTTAAATATTTCAACCCGACCAATTTTTTAATGATAAAGAGAAAATTGTTAAACTTATCTTTAAAAATACATGGATCTTAATTTTTACTTCTTATTATTGATTAATGCCCTTTAATCAATATAATTATTCGATTAAAAAATATATGAATTAAGAATAAAGTAAATGGATATTTGTCTCTTTTGTCCTATATAAATTACAAATATTTTGATTAACCAATTTTCTCTAAAAAACAATTTTGCCCTTCTGAAAATACCGTCCGCCAACTTGACACTTAGAGCCCGTTTAGTTCATGGATTAGAACCATGAGATTAGAACTATTTTCGATTTACGTGTGTTTTTTGTGAAAGAAAATATTGTAGCGAACTATGAATAATAATTCGAATCAGAGAACAAATCCTCCAACCAAACAGACTCTTACTTTGCTTCACTATTTTTCAGGCTCCAGGCGAAAACACACTTTCCGAGTTTGGACCTCTTCTAAAGCCATCACCAACAATAAATAATTAACTTCTTTTTTTTTTTTTTTTTTGGGTTCATTCCCTCTTTCTTTGTTAAACTTGAGTTGGCAGATTAATGGTGAGCTTGAACGGCGTCTCTCTTCACTTCTCAATACAAATTGTTCGCTGCGACTCGAAGCTCTCCTTTGAACTGATGCAGAACAAAGATCAATTTTTGTCTTTTATTCTCCTGAAGTTGTGTATTACAAGCTCTCCCACAGAAATGGCAAAACAGAATTACAGCATCACAAAATACAATCTCAAAAACGGCTCCAACTTTCCTTACCTAATGAAATCAGTTCATTCTTTCAGAAAAATCGTTTCAGATTCTGTAACAATCTTGCAATCCTTTCCTTATTACTTGTTAATCTCAATTATGAAACATGAATTGTCATAATTTCCCTAGAGCTTTTAACTAAAATGTTTTTGAAGCTATTAACTACAGTCGTAATATTAATGAATCTCTCGGAGGACAAGGGTCGGAGACAGAACCGGTAGAGCGTGTCTACATGACTACTAGATATAAAATGTTTTACCCATATATATATAATGTGATTGTCCGGAGAGAGAAGCGATTTCTAATGCAAAGAATTTCAAAACGTCAATAAATTATTGGGGGCTAAAGCATAGGGAAAGATTGGATGCACTGAAAATTCAAGTCCTGATCTAAGGTTGAATCACGTGATCCTCAGTGTCTAGAAACTCTTTAAAACATCAGGCCTAAGATTCTCTTTCTCAGCTTGAGCTTTTCAATTTGCCTGTCAAAATTCATCTTGTTGACTGGAAATTGCATAAAAAAGAAACATACACGTCGAATCAGCCAATGATTAGCTTCTTAAAGAATTCCGCTTGCTCAGGAAAATACTCCAGAATTTCATCCTTGTTCACCCATACAAAATCCTGGCACTTTCTCATGTTGTACTTGTTATTGGTTCCAACAACATTAGATTTGAAGAAGAATCGCTGGAACAAGGGGGGAAAAAGACATGAAACTACTATTAAGTATTCGTGGAACTTCCATAATTAATCAGTCTGATGGTAGCTAGCGTTGTTGAATATCGGTCGAAAGCAGCATAACATGAAAGACTAATGGGAAAGAATACCTTAAAAGATTGAGAGTCTGGCTGATTTTGTACAACCATATGGGCCACAGGGGCATTTCCAGCAAAATACGTAGTGGATAGGTCTCCGATGACATTTTCTAGAGCAGACTCTGCACACTGAAAATTTATTGGGATTTAAATCAAGGATTAATCACTTCCAGGGGCAAAAAAAAAAAAAAAAAAACGATGATAATAAAAGAAATGAATGAGAACTATCACCTTGCGTAACGTCTCCTCTGACTCGTAAACTTTTTCTGGAAAGTGCCAAACGGGCTCACCAGTAGGAGCACCGTTTGGGTTACCAAAGAGAAGAAGATAGAGTCTTCTGTCAAGTGCTCTCTGTAACGACCTAAAGCAGAAGGAAAATTTCGCATGATCAGAGACCAGTGGCATCTCACAAAAAAATTGTTGGTTTCAAAGTTCTCTCATATTGCAAAGCTTATGTTCTCTGGAAGAAAGAAGGAACATAACGTGAAATCCTTTCATTTGCACAACCAAAACCCTGAACAAGCAGGCAGAAGAAGGTCCAGTAAGTTTTCACAGCGCCTATGCATGACACACCCACATCAATCATGAAGGCATACTGCTGAACAAAAATCCTGCTCTTGGTAAATGTATGCACATTGTATCTCCACATCTCAATAATGTAAACTAGAACGACATACTGAACGGCAAAAGGTAGTGACAATTTGGGCTTTCCCATGCAACCTGGACTTGGTAGATATTATCACTTCTTGTTTTTTGTGTGTGTGCATGGGGTGAGTGGGAATACAATATGGGAAAAGAAAAATAATAAATAGATAAATTAAGAAGGGAAGCCAAATTGAGAAGTGATCACGAACAATAACAAACAAGAAACTTAGCCAGATATTGTTATAGCAAAAGAAACTTTGACGCATATGCCAATTCACATGAAGAGGGAAAAAAAAGGATAACAATGAATATACTAATAATTTAACGCCATATTTAGCAGAACATGCAATTTGTAAGTCACCTTAAAAAAGTTCATGCAGTTACAACTTTTTCAAGCAATAAAACTCTTCCACATTCCTTTTTAATAAAAGTAGAATAGAGAAAACAAAACAGCTGAATTGAGATTCTACATCATAAGAATATACTCCCATACTTTTTATCATTCTTTTTGTCAGCTTCAGTGATTCGTGGAGCCGGTTCATAATCAATTTGGTACTCCCCTTTCTCCCTGCCCACCGAAAGTAAGGGTTATTAGAGTTGCAAAAGGAAAAAAAATAAATAAATAGGTAAATAAATAGGCCTGAATTTGTTAAAAATGCACTTGTATGAGCAAGCATCATAAAACAAATTAAGCAAATACATGATAGGTTCTTTCTTCCTAGACTCAGCCCCCTCTTAGTTTTAAGCAACTTTCTTCCATAACATAAGCACATTACACTAGAGAAAATCGAGGAATTAAAACTTTGATTACCTAGACATGTCTACGTTGCTCTGAACATAGATGTCAATCACTCAGTTTAAGGAATTTCTACATTCAATCATACAAGCATAACTTATACCAATCATCCACAGCAATGAAATTACAAGTTACAATAAAAGAAACAGCAGCAGGAAATGCGACATGGTTTGCAGTGGAGAAGATCCACTATAAGTATGACAATAAAATTCCTTTCAGAAATACTAAACAAACACTATAAGTTCAAAAGAAAAAGAAACAATTTAGTCCACGAGTGCATTGCTTATTCTCATTCTATTATCATATATGAACTTTTATAATAGGGAATGCCAACTTTGATTCCCCAAAAAAAAGTAGACAGTGAAACATACGATGCATATATATATTTAACAAGTTAAAAGATATGCAATAGATGCATTCATAACTCACATAACAATAATTTAAACATCAAATGAACTACATGAAGGAATAAAAGCCTTACTTAGAACCTGATTTCTCCAAAAGTTCTTCGGGATATATCCTCCTGTATTGTTGTCGCCACCTAAATCTGTGTGTGTGAGAGAGAGAGAGAGAGAGAGAGAGAGAGGAATATTAGAGAAACTACAAATGAAGGTACATAACTTATAACTAGTTGAAAAAGGGTGAAAACAAAACAGCTTTATGGACATCAATCAACAGCCATCACTAAGCTTGTTTGAAAAAATAACTAAGAAGTTATCATTTATTTTTCCCATAACCTCCAAATGGTCGTTGAAGTAACAGAATGAATCATAAGGATCCTAAAGTTAAAAGGGTCTTTCACTTTTCCATGTTAATCGGTTGTGAAATGGAAATCTCAGATCAGCAATAAAAAGTTCTAGCCTTTCAGGTCCCAAAGTGAACAAATATTATCTAAAAATCTCAAAAGGTTCGTACTATCTTCTCTTTCCCTAACATACATTCTCTCTACAAGAAAAGAATATCCCTATATTTAAATGAAAAAAGTAATTTTCTTTTCGTTAATCATTCTATCAGTGAACACGAAGATACTAATGTGCCCAATTCAAAAATCATTTCTATACAAATCACCATCTACGAGAATACATACGCTAATTCATGATCACAAGTTTCAGTGCAGTAGACAGTTTGCTAATCCGAATTTCATTTTTCTTCCTTTTTTTCCGAATATTAGTACGTCGATTTCCCCAACTTTCTGAGCAGCCAAACAGAATGAAAAACTGAAAATGGACAAGAGAGAGAACTTACGAGAACTCCTGAAAAGCGTAAACGACGGGGTCGATCTTGGGAATAATGACGGGCAACCTCTCGAAGAGAACAGACGCCACGATTTTGTCGGAGCCCGTGCAGAAACCCCGCTGCCCCGCCAGAGGTCGTCGGACCACCGAGCTTAACGCTCTCCGCATTGTGAACCTGTCTCCACAAATGTCTCTCTGAAATTCTCAGATGCAGAAATTGAATGTAGAGAGAGAGAGAGAGAGAGAGAGAGCTGGAAATTTCTTGCGGACGCGAAGAAGAAGTAGAAGGAGGAGGTTCACCTGTTGGTGAAGGGGTTTTAGTTTTACCTCCGATCCAGGCCGAGGGTTTTCCCTCTGTGGGTTTTTCCGAAATTTCCCTCCAAGTGATTTGCATCAACAGTCCATGAATTCTTTGATAGGTTATATTTTGGCCCCAATTCTTTTAATTTTTCCGGAATGATCTGTAAACTTTCAAAGTTTTTGCACTATAAACCTTTCTGCCAAATTTTGTCGATTTTTGGATGTTTTTATTCGAGTTCCATTCAATTGTGCTGCTTTTACCATGAAAAGACTACGGCCTCGTTCTTTTTACCAATTTAAGTTTTGCTATAGTAAAAAGTTCTAAAAAACAGTCACATTTAACTTTTTCGCTACAGTAAAAAGCTATCACATAAAATCACATCTCAACTCGAATCAGCGAACTAAACGGGCCTTAAAATACTTCTTTTGAAGAACTTAAAAGAACATAAAAAAAGGAGAAGAACAAAGCGGCCAATATGATCACCATGTTCTTGCCGGTCAAACATAGACTTGTTGACATTTGTTTGTGTTGATGACGAATATGGCTGGCAATTTCGGACATGACAAGATGTCATGGTACAAAAATGACACAAAGTAAATGATTTAGAGTGCACATTTAATATATGGGTCATTAGCAAGTTGACACAAATAATACAAAAATAAACGGTATGGATACATGCCAACCCGCTTAACATGTTTAACATTTTTAATTATATGGGTCTTAAACGTGCCGACATGACACTATGTATACACCCTTTTAACGCCCATATACATGCAAACAATAAACTCAAGTATTAATACATACAAAATATATAAGATATCTACAAACTTGTTATCATACGCTAGCTTATTTTAGCTATAATTAATATTTAGTTAATTAATGTTATTTTTAAATATAAAAGTATTAATTTTCATACCACATCCTATTAAATATATCATAAACATGTCATAAATGTGTTTTTTTGTATCAGTCTGTCACGACTCGTTTAATAAATGTGTTCACATGTCGTGTCGTGTTACTCGTATAATAAATGTTTCGTGTTTATGTTTGAGTTCCTGATATGTTTATTAATCATACCGTGTTCGTGTTCACTCTAATAGTGTTGTGTCATAATCGTACCGGTTAGAATAAGAAAACTCAATCAGAGGAAGATATCTACTCCACGATCCCTGGAAGTCTAACACGCAAGCTCTTAACATGTCTTCCAAGGTCTGATTAGTACGTTCCGTTTGACCGTCCGTCTGAGGATGCATTGCGGTACTGAACTTCAATCTTGTCCCAAGGCCTTCTTGTAACTTCTTCCAGAATGTCGATGTAAATTTGCTATCCCTGTCTGAAACTATGGAAAGTGGGACTCCATGTAGTCTCACTATCTCTTGTATGTATATCTCTGCTAGCTTATCAACTGTATAAGTTGTTATCACTGGTAGGAAGTGGGCCGATTTGGTCATTCTATCCACTATGACCCAGATTGAATCATGTCCCTTCACAGTCCTCGGTAACCCTGCAACAAAATCCATGGCAATCTGTTCCCACTTCCATTATGGAATCTCCAGCGGTTGCAGCAATCTACCGGGTTTTTGATGCTCAGCTTTCACTTGTTGACAAGTTAAACATTTAGCAACATACTCCACCACATCTTTCTTCATTCCAGGCCACCAAAAGTAATTCATCAGGTCTTGATACATTTTTGTTGTACCAGGATGCACCGAATATGGCGTATTATGAGCTTCATACAAAATTTGCCGTTTAATTCCTTCATCGTTGGGAACACACAATCGACCTTTAAATCCCAATACACCATCTTTTGAGATTTGAAAATTTGGACGTCTATCCTTTATGACTTCATGCTTCAATTGTTCAATTAGAGGGTCTAAATGTTGTTTATTTTTAATCTCTTCCTTAATCATCGGTTGCAAAGGCAACGTAGATAACTGCCCCACCACAAACTCTATTTCCAATTTATTCAAATCATTTCTCAACGAACCTGGTATTCGAGGCAAAGTAACCAAACTGGCCACTCTCTTCCTACTTAAGGCATCAGCGACTTTATTCGCCTTACCTGGATGGTAATGGATATCGCAATCATAATCATTTACAAATTCCAACCACCTTCGTTGCCTCATGTTCAACTCTTTCTGCGTAAAGATGTACTTCAGACTCTTATGGTCTGTGTAGATGTCACAGTGTACTCCATATAGATAGTGTCTCTATATTTTCAACGCAAACACCACAACGGCTAACACAAGGTCATGCGTCGGATAACTCTTTTCGTAGTCTTTCAATTGCCGAGAAGCATAGGCAATCACCTTTCCATGCTGCATTAATATTGCTCCCAGACCTAATCCAGAGGCATCACTGTATATCACAAAGCGATCACTACCCGAAGGAATAACCAAAATTGGAGCTGAAGTTAATCGCTTCTTCAATTCTTGAAAGCATTCCTCGCATTTGTCTGTCCACTCAAACTTGACGTTCTTGCGAGTGAGTTGAGTCAAAGGTTGCGCAACTCTCGAGAATCCTTCGACAAAGCGTCGATAATACCCTGCTAATCCGAGAAAACTACGAATTTCAGTAGCATTATTCGGCCTCTTCCATTGACTCACAGCTTCCACCTTAGATGGATCCACTGAAATTCCTTCCCTTGAGACCATATGTCCAAGAAATGACACTTTCTCCAACCAAAACTCACATTTCTTGAACTTGGCGTACAATTTCTTCTCTTGCAACCTTTGTAACACCAATCGCAGGTGTACCTCATGCTCTTGCTTCGTCCGTGAATACACTAGTATATCATCAATGAATACAATCACGAATTTATCGAGATATTCTTCAAACACACGATTCATGAGATCCATGAACGCTGCTGGGGCATTAGTCAATCCAAACGACATTACTAGAAACTCATAGTGGCCATATCTAGTTCGAAAGGCTATCTTGGGAATGTCTTCTTCTCGAACTTTCAGCTGATGGTACCCCGATCTCAAGTCAATCTTTGAGAAGACTGCCGCACCCTGGAGCTGATCAAACAAATCATCAATCCTCGGCAGAGGATACTTGTTCTTTATGGTAACCTTATTCAGCTCTCGATAATCAATGCACATCCTCATTGTGCCATCCTTCTTCTTAACGAACAACACTGGTGCTCCCCAAGGTGAATAGCTTGGCCTAATAAACTTTTTATCCAACAACTCCTGCAGTTGTGTCTTCAATTCCTTCAGTTCCGCTGGGGCCATACGATATGGAGCTTTAAAAATCGGCGCAGTTCCAGGTAATAACTCAATCACAAACTCCAACTCTCGATCCGGCGGCAGGCCAGGTAAATCCTCCGGAAAAACATTCAAGAAATCTCGAACCATTGGAACATCTTTAGGCTCAAGCGTTACTTCCCGTGTCGTGTCTATAATATTAGCTAGATATCCAACACAACCACTAGCTAGCATTTTATACGCCTTCATAGCTGATTGGCAAATTCATTTCTGTTTACGGGAGGTTCCATGGAACTCGAATGCTTCTCTCTCTCCTGGGGGCAAGAAGATCACTTTCTTCTTTTTACAGTCTATCACAGCATTATACTGTGTTAGCCAGTCCATCCCCAATATAACATCATAATCATACATCTCTAGTTATGATTAGATCGGCATACAATTCTCTACCACAAATGATAATAGGCACTGCTCTAAGCCAAGATTGGAACTTCAAACTATCTCCCGATGGTAAAAGTACTCTACATACTTCCCCTAGCATATCTGGTGTTCTTCCTAACTTTCTAGCAAAGCTCGCAGCAATAAAAGAGTGAGATGCACCTGAGTCTATTAATGCATATGCAGTAGTATCAGCCATAGAGAGCTTACCTGAAACAACTTCAAAAGGTCCAGCCTCCGCTTCACCTTGAGTCAGGGTAAACACTCGAGCATTTGTCTTCTGTTGATTTCCACCTCGTCCTCCTAGTTTTAAGTTGTCTGGGCAATCTCTAGCATAATGCCCAGCCTTTCCGCAAGTATAACACCCCAAGTTGTTCGTCCAACATTCTCCACGATGTCGACGCTGGCAATTGCTGCAGTATGGCCACAACTCAAAGCCATGTTGACCTTGTTGTCTCCGGTCATCTCCTCGTTCGGCATGTTCTGATTTCTTTGTCCATCTCCGCCTCTGTTGCTTCTTCCGCCTCGGTTATTACCTCGATTTCTAAAATTTCCCCGCCGGGGTCCTTGTCTTCCTCTGCTTCCAAAATTCCCTCTTTGTTGGAAATTCCCTCGGTTGTTAAAGCGAAACCGAGGATTAAAACTGGTACCACTCTCCTTGGTCCCCAAAAATTGAACCTGTCTATTTTCAACATTTTCCCACAGAATCGCTCGCTCAACAGCTTCTGCATAGGTGCGTGGCCCCGTCTCGCCAGCATCCACTAACTTTGCCAAACCCGACCTTAGACCTTTCATAAACCTCCTTTTTCTCTCGTTTTCCGTTGCTACCAATCCGGGTGCAAATCTTGACAATTGATCAAACTTCTGCGCATATTCGATCACGGTAGAGTTCCCTTGCTTTAACTCTTGAAACTCGCCCATTTTTGCATCCAGAATGTTAGCGTTGTAGTATTTGGAGTTGAACAACTCCAAAAATCCCATCCAGGTTAGAGTATTCACATCCACGGGCCTCTTAACAACGTCCCACCAGATTCTCGCATTATTCTTCATTTGATACACCGCACATGCCACTTTTTCCTGATCAGTCAGCTTCATGAAATCAAAAATCCTCTCAATACTACACCTCCATTCTTCAACAATTAATGGATT